TTTGAAAGGGTAATAATTCTCGTTAATAGAGGAGCGTTATGGATTCACTAGTATAAATTCCTGTAGTAGAAGAACACTTTGCTTAACGGGAAGTAATTTATGTTGATTGTTGGGTAAGTGATGTTTAACCACAGAGAAAGAGAAACGACAGCTGTGTCGGAATCAAGTGAAAATTGGACCAGCCCACTCGGAGGGGACCCTGAGATCCAGAGGAGCGCTAATTGGGACGGATCCGTGTTGATGGTGTAGGAACATACGGAATTACAGTTAACCTAGACAATATGGCAAACAAGAAAATAGCTACATTTCAAAGCAAAGCTCAAGAGTTCTTTGATCATTGAGATGTAGCTGTGATACTAAGCAGACCTTTTAACTTGGATGGAGTGGGCCCCAGGGATACAAAATATCTCACAGATTTCTTTTCCGGTGGTGACTTCTGAATTTTTACACCAGAAGGTGCATTGTGGCGCAGCTCCTGTTCACAGGTTGCATTTTGAAACTATTGACAGCAAAGCACTTGCTGTCAGACAGGCATCAGGCTCCTGCTAGAGGAAGCCGTGTCGAGAAGAAGTCAGACGTGGGGTCTGATTGCGTGTTACTGTCTTGCGCGTCCATGGCTTGCGACAGCCCGGAGGTGCGGCCCTTTTTCCTGCAGGGCCGTCGTGGAGCCGGGTTGCTGTTTCACATCTTCATTAGACTCTCAGGAGGCAGCGCTGCATTTCGGTCTGTGATCGGGCTTTCCGTGGATAGATGGAACTATGCCTTTTCCTTGGTGGCATGATCTTGTCGCGGGGGGGGGGGGGGGTGACAAAATCAGTTTCCACATACGTTTTGTCTCCCCACGGTCCTTGAGGAGGGAATGAGGGAGCCGTCAGAGATAGGGCAGAACCAGAGCACCCCGTCCTGTGGGAAAACACCCATCCTCGAGAGCGCTTTGTGCTTTTACGTTTAATCTGTCGGCTCTAAGAAGGAGCGCCAAGGCGTTCTGAAGGATCGTCACTCTGAGCCAAATGTTTTATGTGTCATGGAGAGAGGCTCATGTTACAAAAGAAAGAGGATTAAAATAGAATGCCTAGCCCCCCTAGGGGACTGGAGCCCTGAGCAGCTTTACCGAGAGGGGCCTGTGCTTGGACGCAGCCCTGGTTATCTTTCCCTTTTGTCGTCTTGTCTCGGCAGAAATGTGTGGAGTTCCTGGGGAGGGATTATTGGGGCTGGCAGAGTTCATTCTGTCAGAGGGGTGTAACCATCCCGGTAACTTGAACTTAAGGCTTTCTGTAGGTGCTTGTGGGATACAGGTTTATGGGTTTAATAACCGTTTGTTGTTTTGTCTAAGCGTAATATTTGGAGTTCATTGTGAGAGTAATTTTTAATTTGTTTGGACTGAGCATATTGCATGCATTTACAGGGATTCCATTCTAGTGAAGCATCAATTAAATGCTCTATTAAAGAAAGGTGTTGCCATGTTTGGTTGCGTTAAGCAGGGACAGGTTTGGTTTGTTTCACCGCTTTACATTTCCAGTGTGAATGGGAGGGAGGAGGGAGAGAAGGGAGTCAAATACCTCACTTGCAATTGCAATCAAACGCAAGCAGGTGATTTAAAACAAAAGCATATACTCCCTGGCCTAGAGAGGAGTCAGGAAGCATTGCTACTTTTTTTTTTTTTTTTTAATTTTTTTTTCAACGTTTTTTATTTATTTTTGGGACAGAGAGAGACAGAGCATGAACGGGGGAGGGGCAGAGAGAGAGGGAGACACAGAATCGGAAACAGGCTCCAGGCTCCGAGCCATCAGCCCAGAGCCTGACGCGGGGCTCGAACTCACGGACCGCGAGATCGTGACCTGGCTGAAGTCGGACGCTTAACCGACGGCGCCACCCAGGCGCCCCAGCATTGCTACTTTTAAAACGAAGGATAAGGGGCGCCTGGGTGGCTCAGTCGGTTGGGCGGCCGACTTCGGCTCAGGTCATGATCTCGTGGTCCGTGAGTTCGAGCCCCGCATCGGGCTCTGTGCTGACAGCTCAGAGCCTGGAGCCTGTTTCAGATTCTGTGTCTCTCTCTCTCTCTCTCTGACCCTCCCCTGTTCATGCTCTGTCTCTCTCTGTCTCAAAAATAAATAAACAAAATAAAACAAAGGATAAGAGGCTTTTAGTGTTCAGGCAGATGCTGGGCTGACTGCACTGAACGGGCTTATCCCTGTGTCCTGTCCTTAGAGCTCTGGGGAAACGGACAAGAAATAAAGAGCCACGTAAGGCAGCCACGCAGGCTTCAGAAGTGTCATGCGTCTGACTCCACGGGTTTCCTTTTGTGCAGGTTGACAGTACGTATTTACCAAAGTGAAAAATAAACTTTTTTTGGTGCCAGAAAGATAGTCATATTCCTCTCTAGGGAATGAATAGTCTTAAGGGTTTTCATTTGATCAGGTTTGGAAATGGTGAGAAGTTTTTCCTGGTTGGAAATTGTGGAGAATGCCTTTAATTAGCTGATACGGATTAAATTCTTAGCAACTGGAAGGTTTGCTTCGAAGAAACTCTCCTGGGTCTGACTGTGAGGAAGGCTGCTCTTTGAAGCTTTCGTTTCTTTTTGCCGGATTCTGGCCTCAAAGTATTTCACGTGGCATACTCTTGTCGCCTAAGCAAGGGGTTCGTCCAGATGGAACGTGAAATGCACTGAATCCTGGTGGAAATTCAGAATCCGCAGGTAACAATAGCACACATTTATTGTAGCACATGCCTGAGGGTAAGAGCCAAGTGCATGATGTTTTTGCTTGGACAAGGGAGACACTTGGCAGCTGAAGAAAGCTTTAGTTCAGTAGTGAAACCCGTATCTTGTGAAACAGGTTTGGAGCGTCATGTCTATTTAGACACCATTTGTGCTGCCACTTGAATTTGTTTTTCATTCTCTCTCTCTCTCTTCTTTTTTTTTTTTTGGTCCAATTTCGCCCCTTCCACCACCCTACCGCTGTCAAGAAACACTGAGCTCCTCTACAGAACTTTTCTTCTTTGACAGCTTGTCACCTCAGCCCTCCTCTTCTACATCCTTCCTGGAAATTCCATCTCAAGTGGTTTTAGAAATCTGTCCTTTCCACCAGTTTTGCTACTCGTAACTAAATCAGAGAGCCTCGACTCTGGCCTGACATTCGTAGTAGTAACCGAATTTACCTGGAACGGATTCCAAGGCAGCAGGGGGCCCCGGACTTCGGGTTTCTTTCATACGGCAGATCTCTACTCGAGACTCAGATCCTTTAGTAAATCTCAGTGAGCTGTCTACATTCGTTACTCACTTGGGGACTTTTTCTTTAGCTTCTTTTAAAATGGAAAATAGAGTCAGGATTTTGATTGGAAGTCTGCTTGCCTGCCGAGTCTGCCCTCATGACCCATGTGCTTACCTGCCCTATTCTGAACCTGGAGATGCCGGAATGTGGTCTGTGTTTGCCTGTGTCACACCTGCATCCAGTTCTGCACATTTCACAACGAACGTCCTACTTGTTTGGGACAACAGGTGCCAAAACACTGTACCTGCCAAGTGTCCTTAAGTTCACCAGGTCCTGCTTAAAGGATATAACAGAGGGAGGTTAATACGTGGGTGCCTCTGGAACGTCTCTATGTGTCTCTCTTCCCATCCCCTTCTCTGTTTTCTCTGCCTCTGTTTCTCCGTCTCTGTCCCTTCCTTTTCTCCTTGTCTTTGTGACTTTCTCCCTGGCTCTCTCTGCTGTCTGCAGAAACAGAAGCTGCCATACGGGTGGTGTGGGAAGGCAGCACTGAGGCCACCGAAAGGGCGATGACTGCTGGGGCCTCGTTTTTTCTTCACGGAAACACCCCACGTAGAGGCGAGAAGGTTTCAGGTTCGTGCCTCGTTCTTCCCGGATCCCTCTCCTCCCCGCCCTCAGCCCTCCAATTCTTTTTCTTATCTCTTGATGGTCGTTCGGTAGTCTGAGAAACAACACAAACACTAATTGCACACTTGGAAGCTTTTAGTTCCATGTAGTAGGATTTCTTAACCACCTCGTATCATCAGAGTAGTGGGGAGGTCGGACTCTCCGAGGCCGATCCGATGAGTCAGTAGCGGAACTGGATTCTACTTCTGAGTTTATGACTCAGCCTTTGATACCTGCTGGGGCTTCATTAATCAGGCAGGCACACGGAGTAAGTCGAGGAGCTACAAGGCAGAAGTAAGACAGTCAGGGCTTGTTTGGTTTTGTTTGTTTGGTTTTGGTTGGGCAAAAGAATACTGATCTGGATTCAGTGTCTGCTGTGCAGGGCTCAGTAAATGTTAGTGTCGACGCAGACTTTAGCCACGAATTGGATCTTCATTTCTTTTTTTTTTTTAATTTTTTTTAACATTTATTTATTTATTTTTTTTGAGACCGAGAGAGACAGAGCATGAACAGGGGAGGGTCAGAGAGAGAGAGGGAGACACAGAATCTGAAACAGGCTCCACGCTCTGAGCTGTCGGCACAGAGCCCGACGCGGGGCTCGAACCCACGGACCGTGAGATCAGGACCTGAGCCGAAGTCGGATGCCCAACCGACTGAGCCACCCAGGTGCCCTGGATCTTGATTTCTTAGTTTACACCATTTCCCACTCCCATTGGCTTCAGTTGACAGAACTTCCTACCAACCTACTGGGAAAATGGTGATTTTATTCTCATGAATCAGTGTTGTTGGATTTAGGGTGAGAATAAACTTTGTTTTTATGGGGCACCTGGCTGTCTCAGTCGTGTGAGCATTCAACTTCGGCTCAGGTCACGATCCCACGGTTCATGGGTTTGAGCTCCACAGCGGGCTCTGGGCTGACAGCTCGGAGCCTGGAGCCTGCTTCTGATTCTGTGTCTCCCCACTCACACCTTGTCTCTCTGTGTCTCTAAAAAAAAAATGAATAAAAATGTTTAAAAGGAAAAACAGGTTTTTAAAAAAAAAACTTTTTTTTTTTTTTAAGTTTTTATTTAAGTGATCTCTACACTCAGCATGGGGCTCAAACTCACAACCCCAAGATGAAGAGTCACACACATGCTCTTCTGACTTGAGCCAGCCAAGAGCGCCGGGAATAAACTTTGCTTCTGACTTCACGTTGTAATTTCATATGTCAGTAGAGATTTCTGACTAAGAAGAGTTGCTTTTAGGTATGTTTTCGAGTGGCTACCTTGACTGATGTGGAAGAGAGTAAAACTAAAATTTGTCCTGAGTTTTCTACTTTCAATTTAGTAGATCAGTTATGGTCTAGGAATAAAATTACAAACATTATATTCATACTTGACTAAGTTGAATTTTAATACTAGACTGGGTTAAAGTGATAAAAACTCCCAGAGGCAACTGGATCCAGGGTGGCTGTGGCTGTCTCTGAGGGGACCACGTCACCAACTAAATCTCGTGACTTAATATGAAGTCAGTAGGAAGTTGGCACGGAGGCTTCCCTTTGATTTAAAATACAGGGACCTGTAATTTCACGCCTCGTGATCCAAAAACAACCTGTGCTCACAGCCACTTGGGGGTCACTTTTTCCCTGTTTTTCTTCTTCCCTGGACAGTTTTCCCATTAGATTCTTGTTCAGCTCTCTCTGCATCGTTGTGCCAGTGTGCTTTCAAGAGCGCGGGGTTTGGTCCCGGCCTCGTCTCTGCCTTCTCTCTCCTGTGTGTCTTTTATTATCTGTCTTCAGAGCCTGAGCCTCGGCCGCAACTGAACGCTGTCTCTCTTGAGTTAAATGGCATTGAGTGGCCAGACTCTGAAGCGTGTAACGCTCACGCCAAAGGTAGATGTTTTTTTTTTTGTTTGTTTGTTTTTAAATGATCTGCATTTTTATTTATTTATTTTTTTTTCAACATTTATTTATTTTTTGGGACAGAGAGAGACCGAGCATGAACGGGGGAGGGGCAGAGAGAGAGGGAGACACAGAATCGGAAACAGGCTCCAGGCTCTGAGCCATCAGCCCAGAGCCCGACGCGGGGCTTGAACTCCCGGACCGCGAGATCGTGACCTGGCTGAAGTCGGACACTTAACCGACTGCGCCACCCAGGCGCCCCTAAAGGTAGATGTTTTTAGGGTATATGACAGATCTATAAGTACATTTTTGAAATAGAAAACATTTGTCGGTTATCAGTTTTTCGATGCGTCTTCCATAGGTAAATTAACCGACTTTTCTTTTTTCTTTTCTTCCTTCTGTCAGGTCTTTTCTTGCTTACGATTACCAGACCGTTGACACTCACTTGAACTATCTGTGCATCGTAACTGACGGTATAAAATATTGACATAGGTAGTCAGGTTATCCATATGCTGATACTTTTCCAAAAGTCTGCTGTGTGTAATCTTGTTTGCAAGAGCAAAGCACCATTCTGACTTGAAGGATTTTTTTCGTAATGCGTTCTTTCTTTCTTTTGAGAGGGAAAGAGTCCGTGCACGCGTGCACAAGTGGGAGAGGGGAAGGGAGAGAGAGAAAGAGAGAGAAGGAATCCCAAGGAGGCTTTGCGCTGTCAGAGGACTCTGTTTTCAGGGCTCTATTTCATGAACCGCGAGATCATGACCTGAGCCGAAATCAAGAGTCAGACGCTTAACCAACTGAGTCACCCAAGTGCCCCAGGATTTTTTTTAACTTCAGTTATTATCGACCAGTTTATTTCCTTCTAGGAAGTCTGTGCAAGGTAATTAATCTCTTGCTACGGTGTGGAAGAACTGGCTTCTGAAGTCATGTTGCAGAGGGTTGTCTTTGTTAACTATACATTCATTCGTTCAGCAAATTCTTATACTTTTCTGTGCAAGAACTGTGAGGAAATAAAGAAATGATTGAAGCATAAAGCCTGTCCTCAAAAGAGATTACACCGTCTATGTAATGACACAGGTCATAAGTGAGGTTAGAAAAACTCTGACGGTTTCTAGGGCAAAAGAGTACTTTCCGCTAAGGGGAATGCTCTTGATGTGACTCTTTGAGAGCTTGCATCTGCAGAATATTTTTGCAGTCTATTTGATTGGGCTTTTTTTTCTTTTTCCTTATTGTCTTTTCCCCCCGCACGGATTAGCTGTTGCGAATTTCAGTGGAAAAGAGGCAGCTAGAATGGTTTAGCCTACAGAGGTGCTTTGACATATCGAGGCCCAGACATTGTGTAGTATAGAAAACGGCATTTGGGACTTGCCTTCTATGACACTTGAATCGAAGAAAATGCAGACCCGTACCACACCCATCAGTATAGCATGCAGTTGCGGGTGAAGGGTCACAGATTTGTTTATCAAAAGCAAAATTGTTAGATACCTGCACTTTCCATAATGGAAAGCTGGTCACCGTAGATAACATTATCAAGTACAAGAGTGGATAGATGCAATAGAAAATCACCTCATGTCTCATTATGCGGCTTCATCTCGACCCTAGAACTTTTCTCTCTCTCTCTCTCTCTCTCTCTCTCTCTCTCTCTCTCTTTTTCCGGCTCTCTCTCTCTAGATATAGATGTAGATATATGTCAGTGAGCCTCGAAATATCGTAATCTTTCCCGAATTAATTGAGGGTATGTGTATAGTCGATTTAATTATCCACTCAACAAATATTTATTTTACGTCCAGAAAGTGTAAAAATCTGCTGTCCGCCAAGATGACCTAGGTGTTCAGATCATCTTGGAGGAGAGTTATGAACATAAATAACCTGTGAACTTGGGCAACATGTTTCTAACCTCTAAGCCTCCATTTCCTTATCTGTGAAATGGGGTCAGAATAGTACCAATTTCCTGTGTTATTTTGAGGACCAGAGTCTGGTACGTTGTAAGAAGGCAATAAATACAGCTCAAATATCCTAGCAGCACGTGGTTCGATTTGGCTGGAGTTGAGGAGGCTGGGGTCATTTATTTAGTGAACGTGTGGTTCTTATCGGCCAAGTACTGCCAGGATGTTCTGGGAACGTAAAGATGAGTCAGATCTGGTCCAGCTCTCAGAAAACTCAAAATTTAGTGGGGGAGATTGCCACCCATGAGTCCATCGACAGAAGAAAACAGAAAGCCTAGAGCGTCCCTCAGAATGGGGGGTGGGGGGGGTCAGAGGAGACCGTTGGGGACACTACCACCCACGAAAGGATAGTAGGAACTGGCCAGGCGTTCAGAGCCGGGGATGGGCCAATGGCCTTGGGAGGTAGGAGTGCAGAACCGAGACCACTGGACCTTGCCTGAGGTCTGCAGCAGGTGGGGGTGGGGGGTGAGGGGCGTGGGGGCCAGATCCCGAAGGCCCTGACACGCCCCAGCAAGGCCCGGGACTACACCCTGTAGATGAATGTGTCTCAAAACCTTAGGGTCTGTTGGCCAAGTGTACTGGCCAATGCTCAGTTTCTTTGAGATTTCTAATACTGTAGGCTTCTTTAAAATCATAAAAGATCATGTAAGATTTTTAAAAATCATAAGTATGTTGAAAATCACAGAGCATATACCTGCTGCCAGGAAGTGTCCGTGCCAGTGTTTGTGCTTGGGTGTCAGGTTTGGTCCAGATGAAGACCAGATGAGCTCTCGGGGTGCCCTGTGATCAAGCATTTTGCAGCTGTTTGGATAGAGCAGTATTTCTCAAATGAAGATCTGGATATTTGTTTACGGGTTAGGGAATTTTTTTTCTCTTTTATTTTTTTTTTAAATTTTTTTTTCAACGTTTATTTATTTTTTGGGACAGAGAGAGACAGAGCATGAACGGGGGAAGGGCAGAGAGAGAGGGAGACACAGAATCGGAAACAGGCTCCAGGCTC